TGGAATGGCGGCCCGGAAGCCCCTTCCTCTGCGCTCAGAGCGGTGGAATGGTAGCCCAGAAGCCCCTTCCTCTGTGCTGGGAGCAGTGGAATGGCAGCCTGGAAGCCTGTTCCTCTGTGCTGGGATTGGTGGAACTTGCTATTGATTTTTGTGTGTTTACTTCATATCCTGTTACACTGCTGAATTTGGTGATCAATTCTAGAAGTCTTTTGGTGGAGTTTTTTGGGTCTTGTAAGTAAAGGATCATATTATCTGCAAATAATGCTATTTTGACTTTGTCATTTTCTATACATAACCCTTTTCTTTCTCTTGCTTTATTGCTCTAGCTAATGTTTTGAGGACTCTGTTAAACAGGAGTGATGATAATGGACATCTGCTGTCATAGTAAAGTCTCAACAGATGCACTCTTTTCCATCTGCACTGCTATTCTCTCCTGCAAGCTCTTCATACAATTTCTCAGGGCCCAAAGTACTGGACCCACAGATTTGAACTGAACAGAGTGATGCAAACTATTTCAGCTCAGCAGCAGGTTCAGCCTCATGACAGAATGAGCAAGTTGACAGGCTACCACAGGGACACCAGCCTATAGTACTGTGTTCTGGGCAGGGCCTCACTAGTGCTAAAAATGCACTATTACTTCTGGGTTTCTTAGTTTTGTTTGATGCTTGAGATTCAACCCAGATCCTTGTGCATCCTAGGAAGTGTTCTACTGCTGAGCTCTACTTCTAGTCCTGGAGGGAATACTTTGAGTCCCAGTATCAAAATATCATTATTTCAATGTGGCATTTATTTCATTTCAAAATTGTCACTGTTAGAGAAACAGCTATTCCTTTAGATACTGTGCTATTTGAAATCCTTTGTAGGATGTGGTTAGCCACAAATGACACAGAGTTGTGGGTTAAAAATCTGCACACATAAAAGGAAAATAATGATATGTTGGTAAAAGGATTTACTGTAGAACTGTGCTACTTTTCCATTTTTAAATAGGCAAACATCTATGGGAAGAGGGGGAGATGGGAAGTTATTCAAGGAATATAATTTCAGCCTTGTGAGATGAAAAAGTTCTAGAGATCTGTTTCACAGTAATATAAATATTATTACCCCTGGTGAACTGTATGTTTAAAATTAGTTAAGATGGTATATTTTATTATGCTTTTACCACACTTTTAAAATAAAGTTTTAAAAAGGCAACCTGGCATGCTGTAGAACTGTAACCCCAGTACCCTAGGAGGCTAAGGCAGGACAATTGCAAGTTCAAGGTCAGCCTAGACTACATAGGAAGACCTTATCTCAATATCCCATAAAGGAGGAGGAGGGAAGTAAAAACCCATGAATACCTCATAAAGATCTCAAAAATAACCATTTCCTACAAAAGAAACCAGAATTCCATGGATTAAGGATTGATTGATTCCAGGTTTGGGGCAGAAAACGTACAAGATTAGCCAGAAACACCTTATGATATTAGATAACCAAATTAAAGAGGATTCCATTCACCAAAGATGAATGTTACTAGTTTCCTATTGCAGCTGTAATGAATTACCACAAATTTAAGGGACTAAAAGTTATAAATGTATTCTACAGTTCTAGAGGTCAGAAGTCCAAAATTAGTTTCTCCAGGCCAAAGTCAGAACATTTATATTAAGCAAGAACTCACTGCTTGCTACACACAGAAGACAATACTATGCCACCAGTTTTTGCAAAGAAAAGGCTTTATGGTAGGTCCCATGAGGAGAAAGGAGTCATGCTCATATCCACCTTGCTTACTAGGCTCCTATGGAAGGAATTTAAGAGGTGGGGTGACAAGGAAGTAGTGGACTGACTGGTTGTATCCAGAAGTCCTGGTGGAATACTCTCCCTGATCTCCATCCTGCACACATGGTCCAGATGAAATTGCAGACACTTTGTAATGAGTAGTTTCTGTCCTATCTCTCCATTATTTCTGTCCTGTATTTGTTGACAATAGCCCTGACTTCTAGTCAAGGTCCAAGTGGTGCTGGTCTCCTTCTTCAGTTTCTACTCATTGGAGACCTTTGGTTTCCCCAGGGAAAGATCATTTTAGTTTGGGTCCTAGGATTCTGTGCTTGCATCATGAAAAGTAGCTTGAGCAGCTTTTGGAGTGGGGAAATGTTTCAGTGTCAGCAGAGCTGGTTCCTTTTGAAGACTCAGGGAGAGAAGCCTTTTCTTTGCTTTTTCAGCTTTCTCCATCTTCAAAGTACACTGCTTAAATCTCTGCTTTCATCATCCCACCACCTTCTCTGATTCTGTGCCTGCCTCTTACAAGGACTCCTGTGATCAAAATGGGCCCAGCTGGATAACTCAGGATGACACAACTCAAAATTCTCAATCTTATTACATCTGTAAAATTCCTTTTGCCATATAACATTCAGTTTCTGACCATGAACATCTTAAAGTGCCATTATTTAGTCTACCTATATGTCTATATAAAAATCAATAATGTCTGCAATAAATTGAAATACATTAAATATTTAAGTCCACAAACTAATAGCTTATTTTAAAATCTACTTATCAGATAATATACTAAGAATCTCAATCTCTTTCTCTCTCTCTCTGTACTTTTAAATTTTTTTTATTTTGAGACAAGTTCTCACTAATTTTCTAAATTGCTGAGGCTAGCCTTGAACTTGACATCCTCTGCCTCAGTCTCTCAGAGTGCTGGGATTACAGATGTGTTTCATTACACCCAGCTCAATTCTATTTTTAAAACGAGTAAGTAAAGAGAAAGAAGCATTTATTTCAACTTTTTTTGTTTGGTTGGTTGGTTGTGTTTTGGTTTTTTTGAGACAAGGTCTCGCTATGTAGTTCAGGCTGGCCTTGAACTCACTATGTAGCCCAGTTCATAGCCCACTATGAACTCACTATGGGGCCTCAAACTCTCAGTGATCCTCCTGCCTCAGCCTCCCAAATGTTGGGAACACAGGGGTGCACCACCTTGCCTGGGTTATTTCAACTTTTCTGTACAAACAGAGCTCCTGAGTTACAAAATAGAGAGGGGCAAGTTTTTCTTGCCTTCTGTACACTTATCTCTACTTTAGGAGTATTTCCATCAATAAATGAAAAATAGACAAATAAAATATAATCATTTCACAACATCTAATGAATTAGTGGATTTAGGCATTGAGAATCAATGGTCGCTAATATCACGAGAGAAAAAAATCTTGGAAGCAGCCTATATGCCCATCAATAGATGAATGGATAAACAAAATGTAGTACATACACAATGGAGGACTACTCAGCCATAAAGGGGGATAAATTTGAGTCTTTAGTAGGAAAATGAATGCACCTTGAGACCATAATACTAAAATGAATAAATCAGACAAAGAAGGTTAAATATTGCATGGTTTCTCTTATATGAGAAATCCAAAATATAAATAATTTAAAGAGAAAATAAAAGACAGATGATAGGAAATAGGGAGGTAGCCCTTTTGCAGATGGGAAGGGAATCTAGGGCTGGAGAGAGAGAGAGATGGAGGGAAATGGGAAATAAAAAGGATATGTATTTGTACTACCTCCCCACAATGAATGTATTCATTATACATCACAAATATGTACTGATAAAAAATGAGAGAAAGACATTATGTAGATAATCTTTAAAGAAAAACACTGAAGAAGCCAGCCTCCAAAATGGCTCTCAAAGAGCCTTACTTTCTGGTGTGTATGTCCCTGTGAATCATCTCCAATACTGAATAAGGCTGACTGTGTAACCAATAACATATTTTTCTTTTACATATGTCATTTCATTCATACAATAGTCTGGAACCAGTAAAGTACTGCACAATGACAGTGTACAATTGTATATAGGGCATACAAGACATTGTAATTTCCACCTTGCTCTCTTGGTTTGCTTGCTCCAGAGGAAGGAGCTCTAAAAAGAAACCCACCTGGGGAGAAACTAAAGTCTCCTGCCAAAAGTCTAACACCAAACTGCCAGACATGTGAGTGAGCCATTTTGAAAGCAGTTCTTCTTGCTCCAGTCCAGCCTTCAGATGACAGCAGCACCAACTAATTAGCTGATTGCAACTTCATGAGGGAACCTGAGCTAGAACCACTCAGCTAAGCCACTCCCCAATTCCAGACACAGACACAGGGGCAGTTTGTTATGCAAAAATTCATGACTCCTATAGTCACCTATGAAGTTGTCCAAACTAATCCAACCTTACTCTCATGAAGCTTCAAGATCCAACTACCAATTTATAAGAAACCCAGAAAAGAGAAAATAATGCTAAGATGCACTTCAGGAATACAATAAAAAAATCTAGACCCTAAGAATATCTAAAGGACAAACAATTCCATTTCAACAGATCATTTGCAAGGGGGAAAAAAAAGTGAAAGAAATCAAGGGACACACACACAGAAGTCTTAAAAGACATTCCAACATTTGGTATTTAGATGGTATGAACATGCTTTGAATCTCAATCCAAATAAAATGTAGGGAAAAATTATAAAACAATTAAAATTTAAAGATTAAATATTTGATAACATTAGGGTTTTGTTTTGTAGATATGGTAATGCTATTGTGGTTGTTTTTAAAAGAAATCCTTATCATGTAGATTCAAGAAAGAGATTTGCTTCCAAAAAATTAGAAGGCAAGTGGTCAGGGTTGATGAAACAATACTGATTACAAATTGGTCACTGTTGAATCTGGATCACTGAACGATCTTACAATTTTTTTTTTCAGTACTGGGGATCAAACTCGGGTCCTTGCGCTTGCAGGGCAGGCAGCAGAACCACTGAGCTAAATCCCCAGCCCCTGAATACAATTTTAACAAATAAAACCAAGCTAATGCTCTCATTCCTATCAAATGGATATTTACTTTTGCTTCCAAAAAGTGAGGCCTTTCAGTACAATGAAATATACATTAAGGAAAAGGATCATAATGATGTACTTTGTTGTGATTGCGTTTATTATATCTTAGATGTAAAGGAACCACCCTTGTATCAGCTAGATTCACTAGTGGAACATTTAATATAATATATATTATATTATATTAAATGATATATATAGATATAGATATAGATTATATAAAGGATTTATAAGGAAGGTTTACAATGACTCCAGCAAAATCAGCAGTGGAAGAATGCAAAATGGCTGTCTGCCTGCTGGAGAGCCAGAGGATCCAGTAGAGGATGTAAGGCCTGGAGCTCTCTGCAGAGTCCAGTGCAAGTCTGTTGGAAAGCCAAAGTATCTGTGTTGGAAAGCTGAAGAGTCTGTACTGGACACCTGCAAGAACTGGAGACCAACATCCAAAGGCAATGGTAAAGACCAGAACTCCTCCAAAGAAAAGGGAAGACTTTCTCTTCTTTCCCTTTTTATTTTGTCCAGGCTACAAGCCTATTGGTTGGTGCCACCCACATTAGAGGTGGATCGTCCCTGCTCAGTTTGTGGCATACAATCTGCTAGGTGTTTCTCACTTAAGTAGACATATCAATTACCAATCACAACCTTGACTTTTGAGAGTCAAATAACAGATTGACCACCCCTCCTCCTAAACAATGGGAGACTCATTACCCTCCCTGGCTTTTATTGTTGTTGTTCTTTGGTACTGGGGATTGAACTCAGGTCCTTGTGCTTGCGCAGCAAGCGGCAAAACCACTGAGCTAAATCCCCATCCCTCCCTCCCTGCTTTTCAAGGTAACTCTGAGGTGAGGGCAGCACAGTGGCATGGAGGAGGTACATATATTTATCCTCCTTGTGGCCTGAGTTGTTTATTTTGATGAAGCTTCATAGAAATATTTGCTAATCCTTCCTATGTCCTAGTCTCACTCCAAGCCACCTCCTTCAGAAATCACCTTTCCCATTTAGTGCTCTTTCCCTCCTAGTCTTTTGAATCTTTTTATAAAAATAAAAATTTTCCACAGGTGAAAAAAATGATCACATGGATCTGATATTTAAAGAGCTACATATGCCTTGTCCAAATGAGACTACCTTTCTGTTCCTTGCAGTTCACCTCACCATCTGTGCTTTGAAGAGCAGCAGTATCTAATAAACTTGTTTCCTGGTTTTGCATCTTGTGAATTTGTTTCTTGAAGATTAAGCATTTGTGTAAATTATAAATATATTTAATTACAGTAAAGGCTTTAAGAGGGCCAGGGATTTAGCTCAATGATCCCGCTGCCTCCCTGGCAAGCACAAGGTCTCAAGTTCATTCCCCGGTACCAAAAAAAAAAAAGAGGCTTTACGAGACATACACAAAACAAGTTATTAAGAGGGAGAATCTTGAGAAAACTTCAAAATGTTAACCAGTTATTTTTCCTAAGTGAAACTAAGAATGACTTTCTAATATGTTCTAATTAACAGGTCATCATGAAGTAACTTTTTCTAGAAAGTTCTTATTTATTGCTAGGATAACAACAGGCATCCGTGTGGGCAACAAAAGACAGAACAAGCAGGTAGAGGCCCAATCTGAGGATAAGGTGGCAAGCAGGAATACAGGTGGCAATTCTGAGTCTGATGAACCTGATCCTATCAAGACAGGTTCTAGGTCCCAGGAAAATGGCTTTTCTGACCCAAGCTATCCTCTAGGAATAAGCTTCAGGTCCGCCTTGGACCTGAATGACTTTTCCTTATGAATTAGGAATAGTCCTGTTTTTCCTCCCATCAACCTCCCTCGTACATGTGATTTGGTTTATACCTAAAATGTCCCCATGTGTTCAGAAATGGGGGTGCTATAGTCACAAGTGGATTAATCCATTGATGAGTCCACTGCTGAACGTGCTGTTAGGAAGCGGGGCCTGATTAAAGAGGCAGGTCACTAGGAGTGTGACCCAGAAAGTATATTAGTATCTCCTGCTCCTTCCTTTCTCTTATAGCAGACCACAAACTATACATGGGCGTTATTATGGGCAACAGTGACTCAAAAGGTTTTTATGTGGGAAAAGAATAGTCATACACCTAGAAATATCCAAACATAAGGAAAAACACAACACTCATATTTGCTTCTGACATTTGACCCCTAGTGTAGGGGAAATCACAATTACATCATCCATACATATAACAGCATGTACGGGTTTTTGCACTTTTTAAAACAAACAGGATGGGCCAGGGATTTAGCTCAGTGGTTCTGGCGCCTGCCTTGCAAGTGCAAGGATCTGAGTTCGATCCCTGGTACCAAAAAAAAAAAAACAGGAGACCTTTTTTATTTTTCAAACATAGCTTATTCTATAATAAAGGATCATTCTCTGAAAATTAATAGAAGCTCTGATAGTTTCAAATTATTTTTAACAAAAACTATACAAAATTAAAGGCAATCTTACACCTGCAAGCATAAATTACATTTAAACAACAGGCTCATTTCTCATCCCTAAGCTGTTTCTTTTCACTATCTTCTTCTATATCAAAAGTAAATGGTTTGTCATAACCCATTAGATGGTTATAGTCTTCACGGTTTGGAAAGAGCACTGGATTAACCAACAGTGATTTTGTTTTAGCATAAAATGTGGTAAACAGATGTGTGCTGTTTGGAATCTTCACATCATTCCGGTGAAACACTGTGCTTGTTTCTGAAAGCACAATATTGTAAGTAATGGCTTTATAAGTGTCTGTTGTGGCCTCATGGTACAACCGAATGACATACCCTTTTGTAAGAAAATGAAGCAGTGCTGGGGTGATCACCATAAAGCTTCCAATAACACTGTAAAACAGGATTTGCAAAGGCAGACTTCCAAATATATTACTTTGTGAAAAAATGTATGGTAGACATGCAAGGCTGATCACACTTGTAGAATAAGAGAAACATTTCACACCTAAATGGGAAAAAAAATGGAAGAAGGTTAATAATTAAATTTTATAAAAGAATCAATCTATCCCACTAATTCTACATTTCTACTCCTATATCATCATCAAAACATAAATCACATATCAGACTCTCTTAAGCACGTCACATATTTTATTCATGAAATCTATAGAAAATCCTTATGAAAAGATGTGTAGCTATTATCTCATACAATTTAAAAACATGGAAAACAAGAATTTGGTGTGCTAGTGCATGCCTACAATCTCAGCATTCAGGATGCTGGAGTAGGGGAATCTTGAGTTCTAGACCAGCCTGAGCTCTGTGTCAAAAAAAAACCAGAAAGAATAGGGATGCGGATGTATCTCAATGGTTAAATACTTGCCTACCATGCTTGACACCCTAGATCAATGGTGGTCAGCCTATGGCATGTGTGCCACAGCAGGCTGTTTGTGTCACTGAAAGCTCTAAAAGGTGTGCCATTGCTATTCTAGATTAATCGCCGGTATCACAAATTATTAACTAATCAATAAAATTAGTAATTAGTTGCTCTGACATCAATACACATGGCCTATAAAAGTCTCCTTGGCCCTTCCAAAATACCTTTTATCCCTATTATCTTCTTCACACTGTAGTGGATTAAGTAGTGTCCCCAAAGTTTGTATCCACCTGAAACTTCAGAATGTGATCTTACCTGAAAATCAGCCATGCAAGGCAGCGGCATATGCCTGTAATCCCTGCACTCAAAGATGAGGCAGTTTGAAAAAAAAAAAAAAGATGAGGCAGTTTGGGAGTATGGCCAAGAGTTTAAGGCCAGCCTGAGTTACAGTGAGTTCAAGGAAACCCTGAACTACATAATGAGACCCTGTCTCAAAACAAAAAATCAGATCTTTGCAATTTTAAAGACTGAGATAAGATCATGCTGGATTAGGATGGGTCCTAGATCTTATGAAAGTATCTATAAGGACAGAAAAATATAATCAAGGGCCATAGAGGTGGCCATGTAGGATCAAGGCAGAGACGTGAGTTAGCAGCTGTAAGCTGAGGAATGCTAAGTATTTAAAGAAGCCACCAGAAGCTGGAAGGTTAGAATTCTTCCCTAGAGCTTTTAAGAAAGCATGACCCAACTCATGCTGGCACAGGGGCATATAGCAGGCAGGCATCCCCCCATGGCATCGCCTCCTAAGTGGCTCCTGTGCCACTGCCCCGCCCCTGCCTCCCTCAACCCCCCTTCCATCAAGGGCATGATGCCTGCTTTGACTGGCTGTATTTGTGCCCTGTCCCAGTCTTGTTCATTCTTGAGGACCAGAGACAGAGACCTTGGAATCAACTGGGGAGAGGGAGCTGTAAAACCCAGAACCCTGGGGCACAGGAAACAGAGGTCAGTGGATAAACAAGCCAAGACCTGGGCCGGGGATTTAGCTCAGTGGTTCCACCGCCTGCCTCAAAAGTACAAGGTCCTGAGTTTGATCCCTGGTACCAAAAAAAAAACCCCAAGCAAACAAGCCAGAACCTACAACACTCTATAGGACAAGAGAAGTGTTCCAAATAAATGGGGCAGTGATGGGATCCAAATTCCATGTTTAAGAGGCTCCCCCCAACTCCCACAGCTGGCATGGTTGTGCCAGTGATCCCTGTACTCTGGGAGGCTGGGGCAGGGAGATGGCAAGTTCTAGCCCAGCCTGGGCAACTCAGTAACTCAACAAGACCCCACCTCAAAATAATGGTAATAATATTAACAATATCAATAATCAAAAATATTAAATGGGCTGGGTATGTAGCTCAGTGTGAAGGCTTTGAGTTCCAGGCCAGGCTGGGTTACACAGTGAGTTCAAGGCCAGCCTGAACTAGAATGAGACTATCTCAAAACACCAAAAAAAAAAAAAAAAAAAAAAGCAAGCATGACCGTACCAACACCTTGATTTTTTTTTTTTGGTACTGGCGATCAAACTCAGGTCCTTCTGCTTTCAAGGCAGGCAGTGGAACCACTGAGCTAAATCCCCAGCCCCCAACACCTTGATTTTATACTTCTTACTTCCAGAACTGTAAAGAATAAATTTCTATTGTTTTAAGTAACCAAGTTTATGGTTATTAAGAAGCCCAAGGAAACTAATATACATATTATTTTATTTTGCCTGGGGTGATGTGCCATTTGCAAACATATTCCTACTTTCTTGCATTTGCTCATACTACTTTTGAGCCTCAAACGCTCTTCTTTCACATCTATTCATATCCAAATTGTACTCTTTAAAAGACTCAGCTGTAATGCTCTTTTTTTTTTGAGACAAGGTCTCACTACGTAGTGCAGGCTGGCCTTGAACTCATATGATCCTTCTGCTTCTGCCTCCCAAGTGCTGGGATTACAGACATGGGCCACCATGCGTGTCTTGTAATGCCATCTTGATGAGGTCCTGTCTCCTTCTCTCCCTCACGTGAAAATAAGATTATCTACCTTCTAAACTCTAATCTGTTCTCCTGTTCATCTATTCTTTCCTACCAGAGTCTAAGATTCTGCATTATTTTTTAGTAACATCTATAACACAAAACCCCTAAAACAATGCATAGCAAATACTGTTACATCAGTAATTATTTGTTGCTAAGTTAACAATAACTAAGAATCTAAAAGGCCCTTCAAGTGTCTGCCAAGTTGGTAGTTTAGAGAATCCAAGACACTATCTTTATGTCTCTCCTTCAATTTCTACATTAAAAAAAAAAATTGGGGCCAGGGATTTAGCTCAGTGGTTCTGCTGCCTGCCTCGAAAAGTGCAAGGACCTGAGTTCAGTCCCTGGTACCAAGCACACCCCCCCCCCAAAAAAATTAACCTCAGAGTGACTTTCTATTAAGCATATTAAAAGAACTAAAATATGAAATCCCTCTAAAAATTACAATTCCAGGACTTTGAATACCATGGATAGTTATGCTCTTCTACAAATATTACATCCCACCATTATCAAAATTAACTCCTATTTTCTCTTGTCCAGAAAGGAGTCAAGTGGGAACAAGACAAATCAATAAACCTTCCTGTATTTGAGAAATGGTGTCAGTGCTGAGACAAAGAGACCATTGGGGTCACTGTTAAATACATCTCAATGACGGTCCAAATATCCAGGCCTGAGACAGGACACCGACTCAATGGCCTATTCATGCATGGACTTCAGAAGAAATTTCTAACCAACCCTGAAATGACTGCACTGACTTCAGAACTGCACTCACTGGTGATTACAAATAGCTAAACTTCTATTTTCAACATACAATATCATATACTTGAGAATTTACAGAGTGAATTTTAGTTAATAATTTTACATAATCATGATCAAGCATAAGTGTGGGTACTAAAATCTTATAGCCATACTTGGTTATAAAGCAATCCTAACCAAAGTCTGGTTATACTTTTTAAGTTACTGAAATGAAATACAACCTCTGGGAACTTGAACAAATCACACAACTGCACTGTTTTCTTGACCTTCTCTACTGAATACTACATTATAATCTAAGAAAAGTACTTTAAACTTGTCACCATTCAGTACACTGCCTTTTTCTCCTCTTCCATAACTCTACTACCTGGAAAAGTCACTAAACAAATGTGTCGATTGCAAATTCTAAAATGATCCAAACAAATCCAGGAGTGATGGCACTCCTGTAATACTAGCAAGGGGGAGGCTGAGGTAGGAGGATCTCCAGGAGTTTGAGGTCAGCCTGGGATATATAGTGAGTTCAAGGGCAGCCTGAACTACATAGCGAGACCCCATCTCAAAAAAACACACTCACACACAAAAAAAGTAAATACATAAATAAAATGACCAAAATAAAATGAGCAAAAGTATAATTTATATATTTTTAATTGCAAAATTTTGAAAAAATGTATAATCTAATTTTGTCTTGTAATTGTAGAGATGCTAAGCAATAGGCAATATATACTAATGTAGTTTTTACAATTAAAAAAAAATCCCCACTTCAGATTACCCACCAAATACTGCACGGGCCAAATTCCCAGTATAAATCAGCTTTCCATCTTCTGATTTGCCAAGTTGTGTATATGAACATCGAACACATCCTTCCCAGCAAGCAGGTATCTATATCAAAACCAGAGACCATAATGAATGCACAGTAAATTGCATTTTAAAATATTTTTGCATTTTTAAAGGTTATTTTAAAAATCTAATGAAGAGTAAAAGAGAAGTTGTCACACGAGGTGACGTAAAGAATTCTCCCAAATAATCTACAGAGCTAAAGAAATCAAACTGGCTAACAGAATGGCTTTGTTAAATTAGTTCCAGTCATAAGCAGAGATGTCTGGGGTTACAACCCAGTGATAGACAGCGTTGGCCTAGCATGCGTGAGACCCAGAGTTGGACCCCCCAGTGTCCTCCCAACCCCTAATAAGGGGGCATTAAATTTGTGGGTGGAAGCCTGCACAGGAAACGCTCCTGTTGGCAACGTGTTGCACCAGAAACCACTGCACTTGATTTATGACAGATGGTGGGAGGCTGAGAAAGATCACAAGCCCAGCCTGGGCAACTCAGCAACTTGGTGAAACTCTGACTCAAATTTAAATAAATAATAAAAATAAGAAGTGCGCTTAGTTGGAATTTAGTAGGTTTGCATCCCGGTTCTCGAGTTTTTAGATCTAGTGCGACGATGACCAAGTAAAAACGTTTAGTGGAATAATTTCTTAATGAGATCATTCTTCGATTTAAAATGCATTAGCTTTGCAAAAAAATAAAATTTATTTTAATATAATAATCTAGGTAAAACACTGCAAATCCCGATTAAAGTCCAAGATTTACTTATAACTAGTATTTAAGAAAACAAGTCTTTTCCTAAAGGTTTTGTAAATATTTTGTCCCACTTTTATCAAGGAATTTACATAAAATCCTATACTATTTCAGGGAAACAAGAGTTTCACAAACATCTGAAAATGAATTTCACAAACCCACATTTCAAATTTTAAAAGGCATGCCTAATTTATGTTGAAATTTAATTAGATTCCAATTTCCATTTTAGGCACTTCTACGTTTTAATCAGGCTGGAGAATTTTGACATATAGTGTAGAATTAAGAGACAATCTATTCAAATTAAAATGAAACGTCCACATCTCACCGAGGACCAAAAGAATTCCTTAAAATGGAGTCACTAAAACATGCAAAACAAAAACACAAAACCTTAGGTTATCAGGGTTCTCTCGGTTCTATCTCCAAGTGCTGCAGCCAATTTCACTGTAAATTAACCCTTCTGAGCTTCTGCTCAGGGGTGGAAAAGGAACAAAACCGAGTTGTCCAGACAAACCCGCGGGACCTGGAAGCGTCCAGAAAAGCTCTTTCCTTTTTCCTACGGAGCTCCTAGCTTGCTACTTCCGCGAGCCCCGCACCGGGACCGCTTCTTCCCTCGAGCCAGCCACAAGCTGGGCAGGGAAGTTCCGAAAGCGCCCAGGCCCGGCGCCACGCCCGCTCCCCGCGCCCCAGCCCGACCCTCGGGCCGCCGACCTGCGCACTCCTGGGCCGCTGGAGGAGGAGCGTAGCTCCCCGCATCCCCACGCTCCCGGCGCCCGCCGGCCCTGAGGGCCAGTTGCAAGAGACTACCCGCGCGGCGACCACCCGGGGGCCTCGGAGCGCGACGGCCGCCCACGAGGCCGCCCTCTTCCCGCCGGGCCGTAGTCCGGCTGCCCACGGCCCGCCCAACGCCAGGAACAGCATCCCGCGGCTGAGAAGAGGCGGCGGAGCGCTCTGCGGCAACACCAAGGGCGCAGAGACTCGGCAGCTCTGGTCCGGAGGACCCTGCCGCGCGGCACACGCCCCGCCCCCTGGAGTCTCGCTGTGCGGAAAGATTGGCGCCTCTGCGTGCTCAAAATTGGCGGCCGGCTTGCAACCTTTCCCACCACGCGGGTTCCCTGCCAAAGGAGCTGTGAGCCTGCCACACAGTCCCTGGGTATGAGAGCCCGCAAGTGCCCAGCCTGTGTCCAGCCCCCCTTTTTAGGATTTAGCTTTTCTCTCTCTACTCCTCTCTTGCTGGGGATGAAACCCAGGGCCTTGCCTAGGCTAGGCAAGTCCTCTACCACTAAACGATAACCCGACCCTTTTATATTTTTTTCTTTTTGAGACTGTCTCGCTAAGTTGTCCGCGCTGGCGTAGAACGTGCGGTCCTCTTGCTTCAGTCTTAAGAGTAACCGGGTTCAGTCACCACACTCTGCTGGGTTTGGCCCTCTATGACAGTGTGGTAGGATCCAAGGGAGAGCCCTGAGAGGACAGCGCCTAGAAGCCCGGGCTAAATCTTCGTGTGGACATCATTTTGTAGACCAAAAGTTGGTTGCTTTGAGGAAATCATTGTAGGCTATCGGCACAAAAGAAATGCAATAGTGTATACGATTTGAACAAAAATGAATGATAGTTCAACCACTGGGGTAATAGAGAAATGGATTTTGTTCATTTAATACATGTTCACATTTGTTTATTACCTATTCAAAAGGTATTGGGTGGGGCTGGTGATGTAGCTGGGCGGGGGTGGGGGGTGTGCTTGCCTAGCAATGCAAGAGCAAAAGAGGTTTATTGAACACCTATTGTCAGGACTTAGGAACAAAGATACTGGATGAAATTGGTAATTCATAGTGCTAACAGTGGAAGAAATACCTAAAAATAAGTTAAGAATATCATGTTGTAATATAATTGCAATATAATGGTATACAAAATGCTACAGATGCCCACATAAAAGCATCATGAATTTGGCCTCAGAATGTCTTCAAATCAACTTCACGTTCACCTGAGTCCTGAAGAATGAGACTCTTACTGGGTAGAGATATTTGTCTACCACTATTTCAAAACTATGACTATTTTTGTTCTGTCACATTTTGCATAGGAGAGGAACAAATTCATAGTCTAAAATAACATGATTACTAGGCAACTCCAAAAACTCCTTTTATGAAGGGAGAGGAGGCAAAGAGGATCTCTAGAAGGATAAAATGATATTACTTCTTAATGAGTAACTTTGTTTTCCTATAGTTTTCTACTTTTTGTGTGTGTGGTGTTGGGAATGGAACTCAGGACCTTGCACATGCTATACCCCACTGCTGATTTATACCCCCAGCCCATCTACTTATATTTTTAAAATTCAGTTTAGTGATATTCATACTACAAAAAAATCCATTATCTTACTGATGTGTAAGTTTTTCTTTTCATATAAACCATGTTTTTATTGTATCGAGGAGACTTAAATTTTTTTATCTTCTATAAAGATTAGCTGCTTCTTACAGATATTGTAAGCAAATAAAAAACATTTTTGGGAAAAAACCAACAAGTTTTGTCTACTCAGTTTTTAAATAGCTAAAATGAGATTGTTACAAGTGAGTGGGCCAAAAACAGTCCAGGTTCTTGTGTACGACAAGGAAAGTACTGCCGAGCGTACACCATGAAGTATGTAGTAAGTAGCTACATTTATTGAAGATTGCGGGATAGGAGCAGCAGGAACAGGCAGAAGGGCAAAGGGTGGGGGACTCATTAACTCAGGCTTCCAGTATTTATAGGGTCAGACACCTCAGATCCATGGCACCTCCTACTGTCTCTCACTGATGTCAGTAATCTGCTGCTTAGGCGAGCTCCTAAATTTAAGCCTGGATAATCAGTGGGGTGGTGGGGTGTTTATGGTTGAAAGGAGTGGCTCACACACTTACCCTGTTTCTTACTACCACTTTTTAGGATTATGGAAGCATGGATAATCATTAGGGTGGTGTGGCGTTTACAATTGATGAAGGGAAGGGCTTTGTTCCTAACTATACTAAGATCGTATTCTGATAACTGTGCCATAGAATTACATATAATAATTTATGATTAAGTGGAGTTTTTCAATTCTAATAATTTAGATGTGTTGAGTGTAAACTTGAATGAGATCTTAGAATAATTCTAAGGTTGTTTAAGAAGAAAATAACCCTTGATTGCTCATTCATATCACATGAGTTTCTACTTAAAGATGGAAGCTGAGAAAAATTGTAACTGGTTATTATTTTTAGTATCACTTTGTATTTAATGTGGGGAGGGTGTTGTTTGCTTGTTTCCTCAGAATTAAAGGGAGAGATTGATTGAAAATGGACCCATAGACTCCCTTTTGTTAGCTAATCAAGCCTGTTTTGCCTGCTGGGGAATATACCAATCACTGAAATTATAATTGAACACAATGGATGGAAAGCCAATAAGCACAACCAAGAAATAAAAGGCTGAAGAAAGGTTTATTACTTGCAGGACGTACACAGATTAGTAGGGGTATTTCCCAAAGGAGTGCTTTCCCAAACACAGGAGTCAAGGAAAATTTGAGAAGACTCATATATATTCATACTGTAAAGACTTGTCACCACAAGTAGATAGGCACATTTCCAAGCATTGCTCAGTTAAAGGCCATGCTTCTTACAAGTGCATGTTCAAAAAACAGCAGATATGAAAACCCTCAGGATGGAGAATTTAGCATTATATTTACATGGATTAGTGCATGGCAAAAGCTGACTGGAGAACTAGGCGTGACTTGTTAACTACAAGATCCTGGACACACACACTGAACAGTTCCCAAAGTCCTGTAGGTTTTCAACAGCATGGCCTAGATCTAACCCCACACCTCAGTGTGGGATCTTAGCACCACCTCTCAAGATCCTTACGTAGAAGTTCTCTAGGATTTCCTCTAGATTTGGACAGCATAAAAGAAAGACAGCTTGGGCCAGGGATGTAGCTCAGCTCGCCGCACCTGCCTGGCAAGTGCAGGGTCCTGGGTTTGATCCCTGGCTGGGGGCAAGGGGAGGGAGCCATGAGGAGTGGTGCTATGGTAATGTTCCATGATAGTCCATGCTGTGTTTCCTAGACACAATGTGTACTTTTACTTTGCTTTTACCCTCTTTTTCTCTTTACTTGGCTGAAGCTCACTCTGAAGAGCCAGTTTTTCTCCCATTCTTCACTTTTGCTTTCTCGAATAAACTTTGCCACTGCTTTTTGCCCATTTCATTCAATTCTTTGTTCAAGAAGGGAAGAACCTAGAATTCAACTCCAGAAGGCAAGGCAAGCAACTCCAACCCAGCAACGTTTAGTTGGTGAACCATCTTTTAGAAGCAAGCTACCTGATAACATAATGAGATTACAATGAGCAAAATTTATTTTAGGTCACCAAAAAGAATAACTCAGCAATTTTGCCTGATTTAAGCTTTTTCCTTGTGGTTTGTCTGGTTTCTCTGAAAGGCCTTATCAGAAACAAACAAACAAAATAAAAAGCAACTTGAAGGACTGTTAGTCATTTAGAAGGGCAGCAGTTTCTTCCCCTGCAAATCCAGGTGCTTGTCCCTAAAAGTTCCTGCCTGTGTAGCAGCTAACAGTGAATTTTACAAAAGGGTCTACTCACAAGGGGACAATCACATAAAGTCAAGAGTAATACTCAAATACACTCCCCTGAGGATAGGGTCTAAATGCAGATGTGTCCAAACTGTGGGCTGTGGACTACTTATCCTCTTTTCTTCAAAATGTTATAATAATTATTTTATTTATTTTTTGAGACAGAGTCTCACTCTAGTTTAGGCTGGCCTTGAACTCACTATGTAGCCCAGGCTGGCCTCCTGCCTCAGCCTCCCAAGTGCTGGGATTACAGATGTGTACCACCATGCCTGGCATAATTATTATTTTTAAAAGGAAGTGTTGTTAGTTATGTATTTTGCTACTTATATTATGTATTTTATATGCAGCCCAAGACAATTTCTCTTCCCTCAATGCAGCCAAGGCAATCCAAAAGGTTGGATATGGGTGGTTTAGAGGTGTTTATAGGATAAAGAAACAGAGTAGCCTGATAGGGAAAAAGTAGAGGCAGGGAAAAGTGAATTACCCGTGTGGAATCGGCCATCTTGACTTTTCATAGGATCCATGTTCAGAAAATAGTAGCAGTAGCAGACTCTGGGGTTCTGATAGTCTGATGTTAAAAGGTCACCTACTGGGCTGGGGATTTAGCTTAGTGGTTCCAGTGCCTGCTTCGAAAGTGCAAGGTTCCAAGTTCAATCCCCGGTACCAAAAAAA